CGTGGCCTCCAGGGCCTGGCTCCCCCATTTCCCCTCGGCTCTCACCCTTTCGACTGGCCATTGGCTCGGTTCTCTGCGAATTTCAGCTCTACTACGTCGTAGACGCCAACCGAGCGGATGGTCTGGATCAGCTGCTGGTCAGTCGTCCACTGGGGGGAAGAGGGGAGAGGCCGGTGTCAGCTCCCGCAGCCCTTCGCAGGCCCCGGTGCCCCCCAGCTAACCCAGGCTCAGGGGGCTGGGGCATGGCACTTGAGTGCAGACACCCTCAGAGCCCCTACAGGGAGTTTAAAATCAACCTCCAGTCTGAAACAAGCCCTGGGCATGGCTACCAGGGGTCTCTCTGTTCTCTGGAGAAGACAGAGCCTTCCCAGAACCGTCCCCGTATCTGTCAACAGGAGAAGGGGACTCGCCTGCGCAGCCCCCAGGAAGGCAGAGCCAGGCGGGGGCAGCGGCCGGTGTGAGGGAGGCACTACAGCCACCGGTCACTCGCCCCAGACTGGATCTGAAGCCCCTCAAGGCTACGAAACCCTTTTCCCTGAGGATCACAAGGTCAAGCCCAGCTGACGACCCGGCTTGGGACACTGGGTCAGCGTGGCTTGAGGAGGAACAGCACCCCCAAAGAGCCCCGCAGCCCCTCTGGAGGACCCCCACCTGCATACACACCACAGGAGACCCGAACTACCCACGCAGGCGCTCTGGAGACCCCCTGGGCAGGCAAGCGCAGCAATTCCACTCACCCAGGAGAAGCTGCCCACGTAGACGGCGGCTCTCTTGTTGCGCAGCCCGCTGTACGTGTACAGGATGGCGGGAGATTTGCTGTTGGGCTTGGGGGACGGCTCCTGGCGGATCTCCGGGGGTGGCTCCGAACTGCTGGTGCGGCTTTCGGGGGGCTGCGAGCTGGCTGCTAACACGTCGTCGTACAGATCCATCTGATCAGCATTACTGAACTCAGAGTCCTGCGAGGGGAGACACTGTGAGTACCACCGCAGAGGGGAGACCCCCGGGGTGAAACTGCAGCTCAGAAAGGGATCTGTTAAGAGCCTAAACGGGGTTCTGGAGGACTACCCCGTTCTGCTGGAGTCCTCCAACACCCCCCAGCACTGACCATCCAGCGGAAGCCAAACACCAGCCACCACAGGAGATGCTTAAAAGTCATCTCACAGTGCCCTGCCGTGCCGGGGGCTGCGGATGAACGACGCTGGAGGTTAGGAAACCTCCTTCACAGGTCGCAAACCAGTCATCCCAGTTCACCGGCAGCCGGTGCACGCAATCTCTTTTGATGCAGCACAAGCCGAGTCCAAAGGTTTAGCACCCAAACCGCTCGCCTTGGGTCTGTTCGCAGCTAGAAGGTGGTGAATCGCTGCCACGAATGAAGCTACGGCAAACAGATCCGGTGTCTGTTACCTCTCATGAGCCAGCTCCTCTTGCCCGGAGCCCTGTCCCTTCCCCTCAGTGGCACGCCACCGTGGCGTGACCTCTTTCAGCACTTCATTTTTGCAAGGACAACTCCCCGCGCTTCCCCCCCAGCCCAGCAGACCCCTCTCAGCACCGTCCTGCTCTTCCCCACTACTCCACCGCCTTGTAAAAACACGCTGTGCCCCGCGCTTACGACAACCCCTCGCTCGTGCAATCCACCGCAGCGTCTGCTCTTCCTCCTGCATAACGTGGAAATAAATCCCTCTTGCACGTCTCCAGTCCAGCTGCCCAGCTCTCCGACCGGCCAAGCATTAACACAAGCTTCACAGCAACGGGATCAACACCTCCTTTCCCCAGCAATGAGGATCATCGGTGCCCCGAAGATGGGGCGACGGGCTCTGCTTTGCCATGCTTGACATAACCCTGGAGCATTTTTTACACGTGAGGAGGTGGAGAAGGGAGGAATGCTCCAGGAAGCAGAACCACGAGGCTTTACTCCACCGGCGACCTGCGCTGGCTTGATTTTCCTCCCCCCAACTTCAGCTACAAGCCTTTCGCTTTGCCGTTCGCTCCTCCGCCGAGCTCCAGCACACGCCCCGTGCAAGTGGACTGCCTCACTAGGGTGTCAGCCGTCCCGAGCAACGGGGCAAGACCCAACTTGCTGCTCTGGGAGGCTACCAGGAAGAAGCTTACCTTTCGTAAGCGCGCAAGGGCAAGGGTTCAGCGGTGGAAAACCAAACGCCCTCGACGGATGAGCCTCTCGCTCCTTGGCAGGCACGCGCTTCCCGACAAGCCCAGCCTGCGGACACAACCCTGCTCGCCTCGGATATGCCACCGCAAGCTCGCTCGTCCTCGGGCCAGCAGAACCCTCCTCAGGGTAGGAGCTACGCACGCCGTCTGCACACACAGATGCACGCACGGTCTCCCCTCCCCTCGGCAGCGCAGCCTTTCACGGCGCGAACCAGCCGCCGAGGAAGCTTCTGAGCTGCGAACTCAAGTGTCCTAGATCTGCCTTCCAATTCCCACTCTGTTCCAGGCTATATTTAATTTGGAGTGTACAGCGAGTGCTGTGTTTACTACGGATCTTCAGACTAATTGCTCACCCGGATTCAGCGTGCGCCGAGCATCGTTTATCCTACAAATTACTACGTTGGTATCTGTCCCACGGGAGCAACGCATAGGTCCCGTGCAGCACAAAAAAGAGGCTCTGCTCCCAAATTTTTAATTCCAGGACTTCAAAGGCAGTTGGGACAACATCTTTTGCCAGAGACAGCATGAGGTGGTTAAATCCCCTACGCCGCGACGGTCAGGGAACCGCACGCATACAACACAGCCTTTTGTGAGCTCAGGGGAGAGACGGGGAAGGGTGCTCAGCACACGGCTTTCAAAGGGTCACGGAAACATAAAAATCAAACCATTTTCCCTCTTCTTGACAGCAATGTCCATTTCTAAAGCAAGTTGTAACTTTTGCATCCGGCTATTTCAGCTGCAGAGCTGATAAAAAGGTTACAAGAATTTCAACAGGGAGCAGTATTTTTGTACTCATTCTCAAAACAGCTCAACTGTTTGTTTAATCCGCCTCCCACACTCCTACCCCCACCACGCGCCTTTGGACACGGCCCAAGGCTGGAAGATTTCTGCCCGAAAGTTTCAGAAAGTCGAGAACAAAAATAGGGGGCTAGAGGAGAAATCACTCCGACGCCCTCAGTTATGCTACTTAGGGGATGCTTCAGCTTGGGAATTTTTAGAGATCCTCTGGGTCTGTTCCATTTTTGACGCTCTCCTTTAAAACCTAACAGCCTGATGGGGAGATGGTGCTGAAGTACTCACAGCCCAAGCGCTCACAGTCCCCTCCGCTGCTCTCCGCCCTTGCCGTCGCACTGGATTTGCAGACCGTCGCTCAAAACGCGCGGTAGCGCGACGCTTCTTGCGTCACCCGCCAGCTAACACCTTCACCGCCATTCAAACCCTGACACGGCAAACGCGCTCTGAACCCGCGCACGATGCCTTGCGAGGTGCGCGGGGATGAAGCCGGGCACCGTCGGCGGTAATGACAGTAATTACCACGTGTGCGGCGGGATTTGGAACCCTGCTGGCGTCCCTGGTGTGCCACAAGGACCACGGGGCAGCCGGGGCACCTGCCCACCGCACGTTGATCCCACGCGCGGCATCGTGCACAGATTAACTCCGGGTTTCCTCCTGCTGCCGCACAGCCCGAGGCGAGTGAGATGCTGGAGTTGGCAGCCTTGATAATCACTTGCAGCTTTAAGAAGCCTCCATCTACTTGGCCGTGTCAAAGATCTTTTGTGTCCTGTCCCCCAAACCCTCCAGTTAAATCATTCCACGCTGTTTCCCGCTGTGCAGCCAGGCTTGCTCCATCCTCCTCTCAACGCTGCTCAACTTCTTCACTCCCCCAAATCCCCGAAACTCGCCCGAGAACAGACCTGACCCAGCAGAGACCCTCTCGGCTCCCCAGCAGACTTTCCCACGTCAACTCAAGCCACCGCTTTTGTCACCCTTCCTGCTCCAGGCCTCCCGGGGACCGAGCCTTCACGGGAAAGCCCACCTGCAGGCACAGGCAGGACAGGCAGCGCCGGACCGTCTCCGCAGAGTGCCCGTGAAGCGGTGGCAGAGTTTTCCTGTTAAGTCCTCCCACCTGTTTGTTGTTCATCGGTTGTCCTCCGAGACGTTACAGGCTTCCCAACGCGCACCCGCCAACGTCGCAGTTCTTCTCCGAGCAGTAGCTACCACGTCCGCTTTCGCTGCTTCCCTTCGGCGTTCAGCGTAATTGCCATAAATGAAGTTTCCTGGTTATTCTGTGCACTTCTAAACTCCAGCCCAGAGACCTCCATGCATTTTCTTAATCCGCGCCTTCCATCCTTATTCCCGCAGCTATCCAGCTCTCCCTTCCGCTCCTCAGTCCAGGTACGCCTATTTCCCAGATTCTGTTAAAAGTGAATTGCTTAAAAACGTACAAATTGAGGCCATTCCTAAGCCAGAGCAGTTCCGTTCGGTCCCAGCGTTGTTTAATACACGGGGAATCAGGTTTATTCCGGGATTTTTTCAGGAAGGATGCAGGAAGCGGTATTTCAAAGTCGGAGGGTGTCCCGGCAGCGCTGCCCGGCTCTAACAAGCAGCACAGATGTGTGCTTTGCGACTCACCTTTCCAACAAAGCTCCCGTTATTTTGGCAATATCAGACCCAGCTTGGACCCTGCCCTTCTCCAAGGCTCTCAGCGGAGAACTCCTGCTTCTTCCCAGGCGGCCGGAAAGCCCCTCGCAGCCCCCTCGGCTCCGAGGCGGTTCACACCGGTTCCGCTCTT